AGAGCACTTGCCTTGCATGCATGAGGCCCTGGGTTTGATTCCTCAGCACCACATAAGCAAAAAGAAAAAAGCCAGAAGTGGCGCTGTGGCTCAAGGGGTAGAGAGCTAGCCTTGAGCTGAAGAGCTGAGGGACAGCACCCAGGCCCAGAGTTCAGACCCCACAAATGGACCCAAAAAAAAAAAAAAAAGAAAAGAAAATCTGGACTCTAAAGACCAGGAGCTCACCAGCCACTGCCCTTGGGCAAGCTTGTCCCTTTCAACTTGACATTTTCTCTTTTTTTGCCAGTCTGTGTGTTGTTCCTGAGTTTCTTTTGCTCAAAACTAGCACTCAAGCTGGGCGCCGGTGGCTCACGCCTGTAATCCTAGCTACTGAGGAGGCTGAGATCTGAGGATCACGGTTCAAAGCCAGCCCGGGCAGAAAAGTCTGTGAGACTCTGATCTCCAGTAAATCACTGGAAAACCAGAAGTGGTGCTGTGGCTCAAGAGGTAGAGTGCTCGCCTTGAGCTGAAGAGCTGAGGGACAGCACCCAGACCCAGAGTTCAAGCCCCATAACTGACAAAAACAAAAACAAAAAACAAAAAAACAAACTAGCACTCTACCACTTGAGTCATGGCACCACTTCTGGCTTTTTCTGATTACGTGGTACTGAGGAATCAAACCCAGGGCTTCATGCATACAAGGCAAACACTCTACCACTAAGCCACATTCCCATCCCTCAACTTGACCTTTTCTATAGAGCACCTCTCTGGGAGACACAGACACCAGGGCAAAGCTCTCTACTGGCCTTCTCAGCTCTGAGCAAGCGAGTGAGTTGGTCAACAGCTCAATCTGGGAGTAAAGGTTGCTGTGCAACCTTGTGCTCACTATATCTCTCAGTTTTCCTGTCTACAGAATGAGTGTCATTGAACCACCTCTGAGGTTGTGAGCATCCAAAATCAAAGTGAAGATACCATACTAGTATGGCACACTTGACCACTGATGCATTCCTGGAATAGCCAACAGCTCCTTTCTATCCTACCATTGCTGAAGGATAGTCACTGGCTCCTGGCACAGATACTCAGAGCCAGGCAGAAGGCACAGAGCCAGTGGTAAAAGGAACCGGCCCTCCTCAAATTCAATGGACTACAGAGTAGGTATGGACTGGGGACCCTGGGAATCTTAGGGACTTCTGCAGAGTCTCCAAGATCAACATGTCCTCATAATAGGGCTAAGATGCAGCTGTTGCCACTAACTTTCTTTTTTTGGGGGGGGTGGGGGTGGGGTTAGTCGGTCGTGGGGCTTGAACTCTGGGCTTGGGTGCTTCAACTCAAGGCAAGCACTCTACTGTTTGAGCCACAGCGCCACTTTCAGTTTTCGAGTGGTTTATTGGAGAGAAGAGTCTCACGGACTTTCTTACCCGGGCTGGCTTTGAACCGTGATCCTCAGATCTCAGCCTCCTCAGTAGCTAGGATTATAGGCTTGAGCCACCAGCGCCCGGCGCCACTAACTTTCATTTGCACTTGAGTGGTGGGACTATAACCCACTTCAACGAGCCTCTCCTGCTGCTGCCTGTCACCTTTTCCTTGGCCCAGTAGCCCTGTCAGTATTTTCTTTCTCCCACTCAGAATGGACAGAGCCAGGGACAGAACCCCTAGCAGTGAAGGATGTGGATGAGACCTGAATTGAATCACCTAGACCAAGGCCTGGAGCCAGAGACCAGCCACAATCCTGAGCTAGATCAAAAGTGCCTTTTTCTATTATGTCTCTCTTGGTCTACTGATGGCTCCACCGGGCATGGCAGAAATATAAGAAAAGAAAAATGGCCAAGCATTTGTGGCTCATGCTTGTAATCCTAACTACTCAGGAGGCTGAGATCTGAGGATCACAGTTCAAAGCCAGCCAGGGCAGGAGAGTCTATAAGATTCTTATCTTCAATTAACCACCAAAAGCCCAGACAACATGCAGGCCCCAGGCTCAAGCCTCAGTACCAGTACAGAAAAAAAGGAGAAGAGGAAGAAGGAAGAGGAAGAGGAGGAGGAGAAGGAAGAGGAGGGGGGGGAGGGAGGACATGGGCTGTGACAGCCATGAGCAAACTTGTTACAGGGAGTGGATGTGAAGGTAATGAGGCCAGAGAAGAGGTTCAGAGAGAATCAGGCACAGGATGGCACACATAGGAGCTGCCTGTACTCCTGCAGGAAGTGACCTAAGGCCTGACTCAGTTCCCAGGATGCCACAAAAGCCACCACCTGCTCTTCTCTTGGACCACGGAGGACTCACTTGACACAGTAGAGGAAGTGGTCTCTCCAGTCCACCTCAGAAGTCTGGCCCATCAGTGTCTGGTTGGCTGTGAGCAGCAGCAGTGTGCGATTGTTCTGGAAATACTGTAAGAGGCTGTTGACACAGCAGTCAGAGAGGCTGGTGTTGTGCGGGTTAAGGGGTGCGTAGCAGATGTCCTGCAGGGAGATGTTTCGCTGGGCCTCGGGTGACCACACCTGCAGGTGCCTCAGCCTCTCCTGCAGCTCCAGAACCTCCAACAGAAGGTCCAGGGACAAGATCCCGCTGAAGTTCTTGGGCCCCAGCAGCAGGGAGTCATACATGTAGCTGGACCGGTTCAGAGCTGTCAGGAAAACCTGATTGGTTCGAAAAAAGAGGCCAAAATTTTCGTCGTGGAAAGCCTTCTCCTTCCGGGCTTGGCTTTTGGGAGCTGACCACAGATCCACAGGGTCAGTGACAAGTTTTAGGTACATCATGCCTGTCGCCAAGACTAACACTACCACGGTGGACACAGCCAGGACGGTCAGTGGCCATGAGGCTACTGTTGTGCCCCATTTCTGGAAGAACTGGCCAAGGACATTATGGAGAGAGAGTCTGTGCTTGTGAGTGCTACCTGGAGTCACGTGGGGTCCTTCCATCTTGCCTTTGGCCCTGTCCGAAACCACACGGAAGCGCACCAGGATAGCAGTGAGCAACACAAAGACAGAACAGAAGATGATGATGAGGGCCAGCCAGCCTGGCATCCGCCCCATGTAGAAGGAGGGGCGCAGGTCTGGAGGCCGGGAAATCACCGGGCAGGATGCTGCACAGTCCTGGCAGGAGCAGGCTGCCATGTCTTGGCCCTGAGACTCATTGCAGGCTGTAATCTCCCCATTCAGTGGCTGGATCCCACTTGCCAGGGCCTGACCGGATTCCCAGAGGTGGAAGGTGATATCCAGTGGAGCCAAACCATTCCCTGTGTCTCCTTGGAAGTCAAGCCAGCGCTGCGCATTGCAGAGGGCTGAACCATACACACCACACATACTGCCCACGGCCAGTGTAGCAGCAGCCGGGATGCGTACCCGACTGCAAGATTCATAGGCCTTCTCTGCAAAACTACGCTGGTAGAAGGCCTCGTAGGCCACCACAGCAGGGGTCTCGTTAGCCGCCTGTGAGGCCACACGGGTGACGTTGATGAAGACACTCTGGTTGGGGCTGCAGGTATTATGGCAGTGCAGGCTCACAAAGTTGTCCGAGCAAGCCGGGCAGCGGGTGAGGAGAGCCTTGGTGATGGACATGCTTCTCTCCAGGGATATCAGCTGTTGCATGGAACAGCAGGCATAGGTGTGTTCAGAGCCATTGTAGAGACGAGGACAGATGCGCTGGAGGAGAGCCAGGTGGTTGCCTGTGACATGGCGGGCAGGTGTGTTGGATAGGCAGGACACGTTGGACAGTGATGTGAGTCCTCCAGACAGCTCTGGATTCTTCCCACACTCCTCATAGAAAGTGCAGTAGCCAGGCTTATGGATGGGTGTGTACAACTCCCCCTGGGCCTGAAGAACAAAGACAATGTCACATATGGGTCCCAGGCTTTGTGTATGACACACACGGTGTGTATGGTTGCCACAGCAGACACTCTGTGTCTGGGGCCAGAGGGAATGTGGGGGAAGGCAGGACCCACAACAGTGGGACTAGGAGAGCTGCAGGGAGCCTCTTGGGGTGTAGTCTTTATTCCTGAGAATAATGGAGTCACTCAAAGACCCTTTCTGTTGGGACTGACCCATAAACTACAAATTAGGAAGAGCTGAGGGGCTAGTAAGATGGCAGAGGTGCCCAACTGCTGCCACCCAAGCTGCATGCGAAAACTCTAGGCAGTGCAAGAGCTCCCTGACTGGCTCTGCTTAGGGCCAGACACCATCAACCATTTATAGGTGAGAGCAAGGATGCTCATGGGCTAAAGCCAGGACCTCCTCTCAGGCCCCCCCTCCCCTGAAGATCCAGGTGATGGTCATGTGAGGCCCCAACCCCTAACCACAGGCCAGCGCCTCCTCTCAACTCTCCTGAGGCTCCTCTTCTAGGACAATGCTTGTCTCGCATACAGCAGCTGCCGCCACACAGCAGCCCCTAACTGGTACCCAACTGGCCCTTCCTCTTGGGAGTCATTAGTGAATGGCCTCAAGCATTGGACTTACCAAAGGCTGAAGCAGGAGCAGGGCGCAGAGCAACCAGACAGCCGCCATTCCAGGGTCAGAGACAGCCAGGCTGTACTGAAGACAAGGTGATGAACAATAAGGCAACCTCCTCTCCCAGTGACAGCCCTGGTCTGTGGCTGGAACCAATGAGGCTGAACCCTGCTGGTTAATGATCTACCTGCTCTCCTCCCTCTCATTGACAACATTACATGCCCCCTCCCAAACAAGCTTCCTGGGGAAGATGTAGGGTCCCTGCTCACTCCCCAGGGCACCTGAACCCTGGCCAGGGCCAGGGCAGCTGAGGAGTAGCTGGTGATTCCTGCCTACCCCCACTCAATCCCTGCTACAGGGGGCTCCAGGGCCAGAGGCAGAGGTGGGACCAAGCACTGGCCAAGCCCTGCCCTGGAGGCTTCATGTAGCCCTGAAGACATCTATACCACCCCCAGCTCCACCTAAGACCCCCATACACACACTTTAGCCAACCACCTTTTAGGACCAGAGCCAACCATGGGCTCAGACATAACCTCTGTACTGTAGTCCTTAGCAACTGTTGTAAATTAATATTAACAGCCTGATAAGAAGGGACAGTTAGGGTGGAATGACAGTGACAAAAGTCTCCTCTGGGAAGGAAATGAAGGAACAGCCCACTCCAGACTTCTTTGCTCATCTTGCTCTCCCCTACCTCTCCTCTCTTATCTCCTTCTTGTCTTATTGGCCAGCCCTAACTGGGAGCCCTGGGTGGTGGCCCTGTACCACCTGGGCCTTGTCCAGGGCACACACCTCTTGATCACTCCTGATAGTAACCTTTAAGGCCTCCATTGGGCTCCTGCTATCAACAGATGGGCCAGGACCTTGGCCTTTATTGCCAAGACTGAGCTACTGATAATGCAGAAGGCCACTCATGTGGCCTATGGGTGGCCTAAGACAGCTTCAGTCACCCAGCCTGGCTGTCTCCTGTGCTGCATAGACCTTGGCTGCACTTAGGAGATATCCAGGCTTGGGCACGGGCCAACAGAGGCTGAGGGAAAGTGCCCAAGGTCTCCTCTTGTGCAAAGATAGCCCCTGTCCACCAATTTTCATCTCTTTTTGCCCCCGGATAGCACTATGATCTCTTTCTGTCCCAGTCTGAGGTGATATCATCCAGTCCCCCAAAAGAGCAGACCTCAAGACTAAAATCTCAGTGCAAATTGTTTATCTATGATAGTAACAGAGTGGTAAGGAATAAGGGGACAGGGGCTGAGAATGTGGCTTAGTGATAGAGTGCTTGCCTAGCATGCATGAAGCAGTAGGTTTGATTCCTCAGTACCCTTTTTTTTTTTGGGGGGGGGGTCTGGTCATGGGGCCTGAACTCTGGGCCTGGGCACTGTCCCTCAGCTCTTCAGCTCAAGGTTAATGCCCAAACACTTGAGCCACAGCACCGTTTCTGGCTTTTTCTTTCTTTCTTTCTTTTTTCTGGCTTTCTCTACTTATGTGGTGGTGAGGAATCAAACCCAGGACCTCATGCAGGTAAGGTAAGCACTCTACCACTGAGCCACCTCCCAGCCCAAGGTAGTTTATTCTTTTCAGCAAGTTACCTTTTGTTGTTATTCTTGGTCATGGGGCTTGAACTTAGGGCCTGTGTGCTGTCCCTCAGCTCTTCAGCTCAAGGCAAGCATTCTATCACTTGGGCCACAATGCCACTTTCAGTTTTCTGAAAGGTAAAAATCTCATCGCCTTTCCTACCCAGGCTGGCTTTGAACCATGATCCTCAGATCTCAGCCTCCTGAGTAACTAAGATTACAGGCATGAACCACTGGCACCCGGCAGAAGTTACCATTATAAGGCAATATTTATTTTTTTTTTTTTTTATTGTAAAGATACTATACAGAGGGTTACAGTTACATGAGTGAGGTAATGAGTACACTTCCTCTTGAACATTGTTAGCCCCTCCATTGTTTTCCCCCTACCATCCCCTCCCTCCCTCCCTTCCCCGAAGTTCTTTTTTTTTTTTTTTTTTGATTGTGATTAAGTGATTACATAGTTTCTAAGTCACAAGTTCATTCTAACTTTCCTGGAACAAATTGTCTATCACAGTCTGTAATATATAACAGTGTTCACATGTTATACACCATACATGTGATCAGCAGCGTGGGGATATTTAGTAGTGGTTCAACCAGATGAGCAGGAGTTCTTTGTTTCTTAAGTCCTGTTAGTTTTGTCGTATCACCTAACATTTTGGATTTATCATCCACTTATCAGGGAGACCATGTACCGTTTGTCTCTTCGCTCTTGGCTTACCTCGCTCAACAATAAGGCAATATTTAAATATGATACAATAAACTATATCTTATCCAGAAAATAAAACTTTCTTCTTAAATCATATTGCTGAATTATATTTATTTTTACTGTTAGGCTTTAATTATATACCTAAAAAGACACTCCTAGCCTGGCGATGGTGGCTCACGCCTGTAATCCTAGCTACTCAGGAGGCTGAGATCTGAGGATCACGGTTCAAAGCCAGCCCAGGCAGGAAAGACTGTGAGACTCCTATCTCCAATAAACCACCAGAAAACCGGAAGTGGCGCTGTAGTTCAAGTGGTAGAGCGCTAGCCTTGAGCTGAAGAGCTGAAGGACAGTGCCCAGGCCCAGAGTTCAAGCCCCATGACCAACAAAAAAAAAAAAAAAAGACACTCCTAATTCAAAAGACTTCAAAGATAGAAATTTAGAAATCATGGGGGGCGGGGGAGGCTGGGAAGGGATGTGAAGGATAAACAAAGGAGGAGGCTGCAATGCTTGGTAAGAAATGTATGCATTATCCTGCCCATGCAATTGTAACCCCTCTGTACAGTATGTTCACAAATAAAATAAATTAAAAAAAAAGAAATTTAGAAATCAGATCATAGTCATTTGACCAAAGTAAAAAACAAAATATATTTCAGCATCCTCTGTTGATACTTTGAAGTCCCAAGCTTTATGAATAAAGTTAAAATGCTAGTTATTCTAAAGGTTTCACCTATTACATTTTTTGATTATCATGATGTGCTTGACTTTTAAACCCTCTCCATTGCCTTATATCTCCAAACAGATGCTAGATAAGGAACCACAGCATGACAAACCTACTCTGCCAGTTAAAGACAGTTGGCTAGCTTCCAATATTTTACCATCACCTGGTGCTGGTGGCTCATATCTGTAATCCTAGCTTCTCAGGAGGCTGAGATCTGAAAATTATGGTTCAAAGTCAGCACAATATTTCACCATTATAAATAAGTTTCTGATTATCCTCTTTGTGTCTACTGATGTTTCCTTCTTTGAGGGCTTATTTTCTTAGAATAAGTTCTCAGTATGAGTGTTATGAGTCAGAACATGTTTATAATCTTAAGTGCATAGCGCATCATTTTTTCCTCACATTAATCTGGGATTATCTGACTATTATCAGATTGTGTTAAAGATTAACGGTCAATCCCAACCCTTGGATGACAGACTTAAAATGACTTCCCAAGGGCTCCTCCCACTAATGCCAGCCAGCCAGCATCTCACTGTACCCTCATCTCATCACTCCTACATTAGTCAGACTTTACAAATTTAATAACCGCAAAATGAGAAAACATTTTTTCCTTTCTTTGCATGCTGAGAAATGAACCCAGAGCCTTTAGTATACCAAGCATAGGCTATACTAGTGACCTTCGTCTCCCAGCCCTTAACCTCTCTCTCTCTTTCTCTCTGTCTCTTTGTCTCTCTGTCTCTCTCTCTCTCTACTGGTAACAAACTTTGGACTCAGAACCTTGAACTCATTCAACTGGAAGTGGCGCTATGGCTCAAGCGGTAGAGTGCTCACCTTGAGCTGAAGAGCTGAGGAATATGAAGAATAGCACTCAAGCCCAGAGTTCAAGCCCCACGACCGACAAAAAAAAAAGTATGAAAACCAACTATGATGATTTGCACCTGTAATCTCAGCCCTCTGGAGGCTAAAACAGGATTGGGAAATCAAAGTGAGTTAAAGTACAGGATAAGTCTGAGTCCTGCCCAGGTTATACAGTGAGGAATTTCTTCAAAAAGAACAGTCAGGGGCTGGGAAGGTGGCTCAGTGGTAGAGTGCCTGCCTCGCATTCATGGGGCCCTGGGTTCAATTCCTCAGCACCACATAAGCAGAAAAAGCTGGAAATGGCTCTGTGGTTCAAGTGGTAGAGCGCTAGCCTTGAGCTGAAGACCTGAGGGACAGCGCCCATGCCGAGTTCAGCCCCCACATCCGACAAGAAAAAAAAGAAGTCAGGTGCAATCTGAAGGCTAAGCTCTGGAAATCACAGTTTGAAACCAATCCAGACAGACAAATCCCTATGTCTCTTATCCAATTAACCAGCAAGAAAAAATGTAAGTGGAGCTATCGCCTAAGTGGTAGAGTACCAACTTTGAGCAAAAAAGCTAATGGACAGCTAATGCCCAGGCCCTAAGTCCAAGCTCCAGTACCAGCACACAAGATGGAAAGAAAGAGAGGAGGGAGGGGGAGTAAAAGAGAGAGGGAAGAGAGAGGAGGGAGAAGGAAAAGGCAAAGGAGAAGAAGCTGAGAGCTGGAGAATTGCGTTTGAAGCCAGCGTGGTTCGACAAATCCACAAGACTCCATCTTTAAAATAAATAGCAAAACCTAGGCTGAAACCAGGTACTAGTAGCTCACACCTATAACCCCACCTCCACCCCCACTACTCAAGAGGCTGAGATCTGAGAACCCTAATTCAAAACTAGTCCCAGAAGACAAATCCAAGAGACTCTTATCTCCAAATAACCAGCAATAAGCCGGGAGTGGAAGCATGGCTCAAATGAGAGTGCCAGCCCTGAACAAGAAAGTCAAGCAAGGGCTGGGAAGGTGGCTCAGTGGTAGAGCACTTGCCTTGCATGCAGGAGGCCCTGGGTTCGATTCCTCAGCACCACATAAGCAAAAAGAAAAAAAAAGCCGGAAGTGGCGCTGTGGCTCAAGTGGTAGAGCACTAGCCTTGAGCTGAAGAGCTTAGGGACAGTGCTCAAGCCCAGAGTTCAGGCCCCATGACCGGACCCAAAAAAAAAGAAAGTCAAGCAAG